TTCATATTTGTAATTGTTTTGTATTAATGAGAGTATGCAGTTTGGATAATGTACTCATAATTCCTTTAAACCCATTCATTAATAAAATATAAAATGTTCAAGGTGGTTTTCTTTATTTACAGCTGACCATCATCTGCTTTAATTTTGAGTGTCAGCTTTTGCCCTGAGATTGATTTGATTTTTTCCCCTCAGAGCATCACACACATTCTTTTAAGAAGTCATATTCTTTTTTCACTTAAATTTGTGGATATTTATGCTGAACCATCCTATAGGAGGGGCTAGACTTTTAGAAATAGAATCTGCCTTTAATTTAAAGCTTTCGAACTGATTGTTGCAATGCCAGTAGAATTTATTCTGTATCCAACATGCTGTATTCTATTTCAAAGGCTGTAACAACCTGATGCAGCTTTTGTGTACATTTAATACAAAACTAACCATTTCCATCTTGGTTAAAATCTGTCCTCGAAAACTTTCTATAATAACTACTAGACAGAAAAACAATTGTTGTGGCAAACCAGTAGTAATGGTTATGCTATAGAACTAATGTGTCAGAGCATATGAAAAATATTTTACTGTGGTTTTGCTTTAAAAATCTATATTAAACTGTGTAAGCTGTTTTGAAAGAGGGAAAAAAGCAATTCTATATTTTCATATGCTATTTTACTCGGGATTTATTGTGGGTAAATAAGTAGTTTGGCTTCAAACTATTTGCTGAATATAAGTATTCTATATCAGCTACACATGTAATAGATAAATGCTGTATAGATGTAGATGGGAATATGTCGGCTTCCAGATGTTAGACTGCAACTCACATCATTCCTCACATTAGCGTGACATTTTTTTTTCGTGTCAGGAGCGACTTGAGAAACTGCAAGTCACTTCTGGTGTGAGAGAATTGGCCATCTGCAAGAACGTTGCTCAGGGGACGCCCGAATGTTCGATGTTTTACCATCCTTGTGGGAAGCTTCTCTCATGTCCCAGCATGGGGAGCTGGAGCTGACAGACGGAGCTCCACCTGCTCTCCCGGATTCCCCACCATAATGTCGTATGGAGTTTCATGTGACACAATGGATACATACTATCAATGGATAATGATTAGCAATAGTTGACCGGTGTTATGACATATGTATTCATTAAATGACAGTGGCCTGTGCAATAGAAAGATGGAGGTGATGAAGTGGAGCTAGTTAAACAGTGGCTACAAACTCACAAATGATAATCAAGATTTTAAACTCTTCCTTCCATCGCTCCCCTCCAAACTTCCAAATGAAGCAAAACCCAGGTTAGAACTTCCTACTGGAACAAGAACAACAACAACTTTATTTTTCTGCCTCGCCTCCATCTCCCCGAAGGGATTTGGGGTGGCTTACAAAGGGACAAGCCCAGGGAGCACAGAGTTTAAAACATAACACAATAAGATAGAATCAAAACAAAAGCAAATAAAAACATATCACAATAAAACATAACATCATAAAAACAAGCCCATGTTATTGACTCAAGTCAATGTAAGCTGCTAGAATTGGTTTTATTCTCTTTTAAAGCTATCCAAGCTGGTAGCCATTAAATACTTCATATGACAGCAAATTCATTTTAGTAGACCCTACAAGGAGCTGGGTGGGGGGCAATAAGTGTTTGCTTTAGGGAGGAAAGTTAAAAGGGCAAGTCACTCTCTTTTGCTTGTATATATTTCAAACATCTGTGTCACATTCATATCGTATTTTGAGACTTTAAATGAATCTTCTCTGAGTTTTTTCCCTACAAGTAAAAAAAAGAAGCCCAGCAATTAGATTGTCTCTTCCCTTCCATGAGTTGATTAAATTGTTTTGTTAAGGTTCCAGACCTAAACATTTCCCTTCTCCCCTGCTTGATGGGCTGTACTTTGGGTTTCCAATAAAATTTATAGTGAAAACCGAAAGAATCAAAAGATACCACCTTCTGATCACCTTGGAGCAGCGGTTCTCAAAGCGTGCTCCGTGGAGTCCTTGGGGGGCTCCACGCTTCCCACCTCCCTCCCCTCCAAGCTTCCCCTCCTCTTTCCTGGTTCTCACCATCACCCTGTCTTCCTCACCACCAATGTGTTCCTCTCTCCTTTGCCACCAAAAGCCCTTTTCCCTCAGCCCCCCTTTTGCCAAAAGACTTCCTATTACTATTATTACGAAGGCTGGATGGCCATCTGTTGGGGTGCTTTGTACTTTTTCTGCATGGCAAAAGGGAGTTGAACTGAATGGCCCCTGGGTTTTATATTATTATTATTATTATTATTATTATTATTATTATTATTATTATATACATAACAAGATTAGTACACAGCAAACAAGATCGCTATGCTGGCTTTTGTATTTGATAATGCGTCGGACACTTTCCAAGTGTCTAGGACTGTGTGATGTCTCGGCAAAAAATGTGTGCAGATCCGAGCAAGGTGGCCTTTTGCAGCTGATAGAGGGTAATTTTGTCAGTGCCAGTTGTTTTTAAGTGCAGGCCAAGATTTTTAAGCACTGCACCACTACTACTTCTTCTTCTTCTTCTTCTTCTTCTTCTTCTTCTTCTTCTTCTTCCAAAGGCTGGGACAGGCTATCTGTTGGGGGTGCTTTGATTGTGCTTTTCCTGCATGGCAGAAGGGGGTTGGACTGGATGGCCCCTGGGATCATCCACTGAAATATTGTTAAGTTTATGTTGGTTCTTTCTTTTTTGTGTGCAGTGTGCATAAGAATTTGTTCATGTTTTTTTAATTCATTCACACAACACTCTCCCTCCATCTGCCACTGGACCAGCCTATCAGTCAAATTTTAAAACAGAATGTGTCAAAAAGTTGGCTCATGCCTTATATTTATACATTATAAATAATATAATATATAAACATTTCTTGGGGCTCCACGATAAACTTTTGCTTCAAAAAGGGCTCAGTGGCTGAAAAGGTTTGAGAACCCCTCCCTTGGAAGCTTTTGGAGGTGTGATTGAGGGGAGCATGGGGAGAATTGTCCCATGCTTTCTAGCAGTTTACTTATGTCAAAGGAAAGTACAATAGCAAGGCTTCAACTGGTTCAGAATTCAGGAGCTTATTGCTGGTGTTTCATTAGATTTCCATTGTTGTTCCAGGTTAATCCTGGCTGCCGTTATTAGATAAATAAAAATTCTATTTGTGTTTTTTTTTCCATTTCGAAATCCATGATTCCTAATAAGAAATACTCTGGTTTAAACTCGATGCTTATTTGTAAAATTAATTCTATCTTTTTATGTATCCATTGCCAAAAGGATTTGGTTTTCTTGCACTTCCACCATAGGTGTATGAAAGTGCCTGTGTTTTTCCCACACTTCCAACATTTGTCACTAGTTATGCCTTTATTTATTTTTGCTAGTTTTTCTGTAGAACATTTTATACCAGTTCTCTCTAAATTCTGTGGAGTATGTAAGTTTTGATTTCTTTGTCCACATCTCTTCCCACTCTGACATACTTATTGTTCTACCTAGATCTCTAGACCATTTTGTCATGACCTCCTTTACCTGCTCTTCTTCTGTTGACCAAGTTAATAATCGTTGGTTATATCCTTTTAGTTAATTTCGTCTCTACTTTTAGTATTTTATCCCAGATCCTCTCACCAATGATTGAAAACTGGCTATTGAAAGTCTGGAATATAATGAACAGGGATTTACTCTTGCAAAATTTAACAGACAATAATATACAAAGACAAAGAAAGAACTGGGGAAAATTTATTGAATTTATCAAAAAAGATAATGCTGAAATCCACATCCAGGAGGTATAAAAGAATCTCAAAGGCCAAATAACTAGCAGATACTAGACAGCATAAAGATCTCAAGTTTAGTGGGGGGAAAAGTTGACAACACAACCTAGAAGTACCTGGAAACTGTAATTTGCTAGTTTTTTTTCTTTCTATTTCTTTTCCTTCCCCCCTTTCTCCCCTCCCCATTTTTCTCTCTCTCTCCCTCTTTCCTACCTTCCCTAGTTTCCTATCACAAAATGTTCTCACACTTTCATTGTAAAATTGTCTTGATGTTAAACTTCTCTCATGCTCCAACCTATTGGAGACAATTTATTCTCAGAATTCAGGAGCTAATGTAACTGATGCCACAAGAGAGAGACAATAGGATGTGCACTGTAAACAGGTTCAGAGATCAGGAATCCAAATAAAGCGAAGCGTAGTAGGCTCACAGATGCCAGATAGATTTATGTCCCCCTTAACCTTGAGTCACCAGGTGCTTGATTCCTCGATGCTTCTTATTTAAGAGATGTTGACTCCTCCAGAGTTGTTTTCTGAGTTGTTTATCTTGTCAGTGTTCCACAAATGATGGGGCTTTGTGTTCTTCAGCTTTGGTTCAGTTGGGTTACACTTCATCAGCTCCATCCGTCAATAGGTGCTGAGATTCAGGGCAGCATAATGTTAATAGCAACCAGAAACCTTTCTATACCTGACCATTGTGCGTTGTATTCCTTGGAATCCACTGAATGTGTAAATGGCAGTTATGGTCCCTAGATGTGAAAGCATTCTTATCCCTTCTCTGAGACTGGGATTAGTAAACTGGCTGTCCCCTTGTGCTCCATTTGTCAGTAGGCAAAGACCTTTCTGTTCCAGCAAGTTTTGGAAAAGTGATTATTTTTAATGTAAATTGCTTTTTAGTGTGATTTTAAATTACTATTTTAAATGGTTTTATTTTAAATTGTAATGCTGTTTAATCATCTCAGAATCTCTTAAAACATGTTTTAGCTATATGTGCTTTTACTTGTGTGTTTTCTAACTTTGAGGGGGGAAAACCTTGAGAAAAAGTGATTTATTGCTTTCTGATTTACATGACACCAGCAGTCATTTTACAGGGAAAGATGCTAACAGCCATAGTTAAAATATAGGGGATACGCTGTTTCATTTCACATATGCACTGTGCATTTGTCTGTCTGTTTTGAAGACATGTCCATGTCTTTGCCAATATGTTTGTATAGTTAACAATGGTATATTACCCTACAGGTGACTGATTATTGTATTCTCTAGGCAGGTAACCAGACAGCTACAGTAATTGCACTGTGCTCAATGAGAGATTTCAACTTGTCTCAAGAAACATGTCAGCTGGCGATTAGAGATGTCGGGGGGCTTGAAGTGCTGATTAATTTGCTTGACACTGAAGAAATCAAATGTAAGGTGAGTTTGCTTTGTGAGTGACTGTTTTTTTGTTCGGCTAGTGACTGTCACAAAGGATGGGAGGGATAGCCAATACTCCAGAAGACAAAAGCAGAATTCAAAACGATCTTAACAGATTAGAGAGATGGGCCAAAACTAACAAAATGAAATTCAACAGGGACAAATGCAAGATACTCCACTTAGGCAGAAAAAAATGGAATGGAAAGGTGCAGAATGGGGGATGCCTAGCTCGACAGCAGTACTTGTGATAAAGATATTGGAGTCCTCGTGGACAAGTTAAACGTGAGCCAACAATGTCAGGTGGCATCAAAAAAAGCCCATGGGATTTTGGCCTGCATAAATATGAGTATAGTGTCTAGATCCAGGGAAGTCATGCTACCCCTCTATTCTGCCTTAGTCAGACCACACCTGGAATACTGTGTCCAATTCTGGGCACCGCAATTGAAGGGAGATGCTGATAAGCTGATAGTCCACTTGGCCACTGAGTTACCTTGGGTGAGTCAACAATCTGGATTGTGTCCAGAGAAGGGCAACTAAAATGATTCAAGGGTCTGGAGAACAAGTCCTATGACGAGGGACTTAAAACTGGGCATGTTTAGGCTGCACAAGAGAAGGCTGAGAGGAGACATGATGGCCATGTATCAAGATGTGAGGGGAAGTCATAGGGAAGAGGGAGCAAGCTTGTTTTCTGCTTCCCTGGAGACTAGGACATGGACCAGTGGCTTCAAACTACAAGAAAAGAGATTCCATCTGAACATTAGGAAGAACTTCCTGACTGTGAGAGCTGTTAAGCAGTGGAACTCTCTGCTCCGGAGTGTGGTGGAAACTCCTTCTTTGGAAGCTTTTAAACAGAGGCTGGATGGTCATCTTTCAGGGGTGCTTTGAATGCAATATTCCTGCTTCTTGGCAGGGGGTTGGACTGGATGGCCCAGGAGGTCTCTTTCAACACTATGATTCTATGACTTTTCTGCTTCCATGGAGACTAGGATGCAGAATAATGGCTTCAACTACAGGAAAGGAGATTCCACCTGAACATTAGGAAGAACTTCCAAACTGTGAGCGCTGTTCAGCAGTGGAACTCTCTGCCCTGGAGGGTGGTGGAGGCTCCTTCTTTGGAGGCTTTTAAACAGAGGCTAGATGGCCATCTGTTGGGGGTGCTTTGAATGCAATTTTCCTGCTTCTTGGCAGGGGGGTTGGACTGGATGGCCCACGAGGTCTCTTCCAACTCTAGGAGTCTATGATTATGTTCATATAAGAATCATAGAATCATGCTCTGAGTCTCTTACTTGTCACAAAGCAGAATCCTCAGATGGTACTTAATATATAAAACAACAAGGAAAAGATAAGAAAATGAAATAATTTCAGACTTCCTATGAAGTTCTGAGGTGGTTTTCATAGTTCTTTTTAGCATCTGGAATATTTTTCAATGTAGCAAATAAGAGATTAAGAGGTTGCTAAAATTATCGTAGTTCACTTGAAGCTCAAAAAGCTTTTAAAAAGTGCACTGATTCTAGTCATTATTCAGTGGATTCACCCTGGGTCAGATGTAGTTAGGAAAAAAACAATTATTCTTTGTTTTGCCTATTTGGAAACAACTGTCTTCAAGAATAGCAAGAGGTTTAGCTGTGCCAATCCATCTTTCCCTATCCCCACCAATTCATCTCTGTTTCCATATAGTAGCATTTTTGCACCATGAACACACAAACAAGTTTCAGAGCAATACATTGCAAACTGTCACTCAAACATTCAGATTCTATATGCATTTTTTAAATCTAACTATGAAATTTCCTCCTCTGACCAGATTGGTTCATTAAAAATCCTGAAGGAAATTAGCCAGAATTCTCAGATCAGACGTACAATTGCTGACCTTGGAGGATTGCAGATCATGGTGAAGATACTTGATTCTGTAGATCAGGATTTGAAATGTTTGGCTGCCGAAACAATAGCTAATGTGGCCAGATTCAGGCGAGCACGAAGAACAGTCCGAGAACATGGTGGAATTAAAAAGCTTGTAAGTAGGCACAGCAATCAATATTACTTAGCAATTTTTCATCTTGAAACAGGTTTCTTTTACTATTTGGAAAACAGGAAGATATATATGTGATATGATACTTATTCCTGCTTTACAATAGTATTGTTGTTGTTGTTGTTATTATTATTATTATTATGTTTATCGATATCCCACTTTTTCTCTTCACAAGAAGATTCAAAGAAGTTTTGGTCCATAGATTTCTTGTCATAGTGAAAATGTCTGTTTTATTTTATCTATGCAAGCCGTCTGTTGAAATAAATATTCTTGTGGTATATTCTGTTCAGCTTTTGAGGAACTAAAAAACATAAAGTTGTTTGTAGAATAAAATTGAAAATCCCAGTACCATAACTCATAACTAACCATTGCAACTAATAAGAACAGGAATGTACACATTACCAATACTGGTATCCTTACTAGCATTCCAGATATGAGTTGAAATTGATTACCCTGTCACCGTGAGCAAAGCTAAGCTGGGTTGGGCCTGGTTAGTGCATGGGTGTGATTTTCCAACCAAGGAAAACCAGTTGTCTCCTAGAACAGCATTTCCCAACCTGTGGATTGGGACTCCTGGGGATCGCTAAAGATCATAAGAAAACAGTATCTGTTGATTATGAGGGTTCTGTGTGGGAAGTTTGGCTCAATTGTATTGGTGGGGTTAAGAATGCTCTTTGATTGTAGGTGAATTATAAATCCCCGCAACTGCAACTCCCATATGCCAAGGTTTTGTTCTCCAAACTCCACCAGTGTTCGTGTTTGGGCATATTGAGTATCCATGCCAAGTTTGGTCCAGATCCATGATTGCTTGAGTACACAGTGCTCTCTGGATGTAGATGAACTACAACTTGAAAACTCAAGGTCACATACATGAACTCTGGCCACATACATGAACAAACAAGAAGACTCTATGGAAAAGGAAATTGATCGAACTTACAGAATACAAACAAGCTACAGCAGAGAAAAAAACTCAACAAAAGATGTTTTGGTATGCTTTGCTAGAAAACACACACGAGATGAGATTTTAAGCCTAACTAATAAAACCCCACTAATATGGGGGGGGGGGGAAGAAAATCATTGTCCTGAAAGAAGTCCCGCAATCAATACTCAATCGAAGAAAGAAATACCATTTCTTGACACAAGAACTTAAAAGAATAAAAGTCAGGTTCAGATGGGAAAAAATGGAAGGCCTGATGGCCACATATAGAGACAAGAAATATTGGGTCAGAGATGAAGAAAAAGCGAAGGAATTGTATAGACTAATAATGAAAGATCATCCTAAAGCAGAACAGCCCTTAGCACACAGATCAGGCAGATCCAACAAAAGAGCTAGACCACCATCCCTAGAGGGAGAAGAAACGAAACTAGACCAGGCAATATCCCCAGTGGGAGGGGAACAAGGAAAGGAACCAGAGGAAGAGGAAGTTAGCAAAAAAGCCGACGAAGATGGCGAACGAAAGACTAATTAAAATATGCTCTTTAAATGTAAATGGGTTAAACTCCCCAAATAAAAGAAACAAAATATTTCACCAACTAAATAAAGGAAACTTTCACATTATCGGCCTGCAAGAGACTCACATTTGTCATAAACATGTAGCCCATCTAGTTCAAAACAAATAGGTAAAGAATACTACTCCTCTTCCGAGAAGAAGAAGAGGGGAGTAGTGATCTATGTTAAACAGGATATTTCTTCCAAATTACTATTTAAAAATCAGGAGGGAAGAGTAGTGGGAATCATGACGAACTTAGGAGGGGAAAAAACACTTATCTGCAACATTTACGCCCCGAACGGGCCTAAAAATAAATTTATAAAACATTTAACAGAAAATATACAAAAAACCGAATATGATAATCTTATAATCATGGGGGACTACAATAGTATCCTAGACAAAAGGTTAGACAGATGCTCCGGGAAAAGTAACACCTCAACCAAATCGGAAAGTAACACCTTATCCCAAAAATTCCGTAACTTTAAGGAGGAATTCGACCTCGAAGACTCATGGAGACACTTCCATCCAGAGAGTCAGGACTACACCTTTTTTTCAGCACGGCACAGGATGTGGACGAGGATCGACATGATATGGGTAACCAAGAATATTCTGTCTAAAATTGGTAAAGTGAAAATAAAACCTAGGGAGTTATCGGACCACGGTCCGGTCATCATGGAAATCTTTTGCAAACCCCAAATTAGATCTTGGAGGCTTAACGAGAATCTACTCAAAAAGGAAGAGGACATCGTGAAAAACAAAGAATTAATAAAGGAATTCCTGAGCTTCAATGACACCCCAGAAATGTCTCCCCAGACTGTCTGGGACACACTTAAGGCAGTTATGAGGGGCAACCTAATTCAACAGAACGCCATAAAAAACAAAAAAAGACTCAAAGAAATGAGAGACATAGAAAAACAAATGGAAGAACAGGAGCAAGCGTTAAAATCCAACCCCAGAAACTTTAAGCCAATACAGGAACTGAATAGACTGAAAAGAAAGAAACACCATCTAGAATTAGAAGAGTTGGCCAAGAAATACAAATTCATTAAGCAACAAAATTTTGAGAATGCCGGCAAACCGGGAAGATGGTTAGCCAGGAAAATCAGGAAAAAAAAGCAAGCAAACTACATTACGACAATTCGTAAAGGAAACAAAAACCTTAACACAGATAAGGAAATAAGAGAAGAATTTCAAAGATACTACTCCGAACTCTATACAGGAGACAAACCCAACGAATACAAGATCCATGCCTACTTATCAAAACTAAAATTAGCTAAAATCTCAGAAGAACAAAGGGAGGGACTTAATGGAGAAATAACTATCAAGGAAATAAAGGAAGCCATCAACAACCTCGACTCTAGTAAAGCGCCGGGCCCGGATGGGTTTACAGCCACCTTTTACAAGACAATGCAAGAGGAAATTACCCCCCTACTAAGAAGAGTGATGAATTCAGTAATGCAAAACTCTAGAATTCCAGCAACATGGAAGGAGGCGGAAATAAACCTAATCGGTAAAGAAAAGACCGACCCGTTATTGGTAGAAAATTATAGGCCAATTTCTCTGCTCAATGCAGACTATAAAATCTTTGCCAACATTATGGCAAGGAGACTCAAAAATTTCCTTAGAGTGGATCGGGGAAGAGCAGGCGGGCTTTCTGCCAAACAGAGGAGTCAAAGAGAATATAAGAACCATTCTGAATACAATAGAGTATTACGATCTAAATATTCAGAAGGAAGTGGCTTGGCTCTCTCTAGACACGGAGAAGGCCTTCGATAATTTAAGCTGGCCATTCCTCAAGTCTCTACTGGACGAGTTGGATATGGGTTTTTTTTTCAAGAACGCAATCAACGCCATATATTCAGAACAATCTGCAAAAATCCTAATTAACAAGCAAAGATCAGGAAAAATCAATATTGCAAAGGGCACAAGACAGGGATGCCCTCTGTCCCCCTTACTTTTCATCATGGCGCTGGAGGCGTTACTGAGATCAATTCGAGAAGACAAGGAGGTGGTGGGTTTAAGATGGGCAAAACAGGATTATAAAATTCGTGCCTTCGCCGATGATGTCATCTGTATAGTAGAGGACCCAATCAAAAACATAGAAAAATGGCTGGGCAAAATAGAAGAATTTGGGGAGGTATCCGGATTCAAACTAAATAAAAATAAAACAATGATATTAACTAAAAATATGCCAAAATTAAAGCAGGATCAATTAAGTGCGATGACGGGGTTCAAGATCTGCTCCAAGATTAAATATTTGGGCATTTGGCTGTCAGCAAAAAATAACCAACTTTATAAAAATAATTACGAAACCAACTGGGGAAAGGTGAAAAAGGATCTCGAGAATTGGAAGCATTTAAAACTTTCAATATTAAGCAAGATCGCTCTTATAAAAATGAATATCCTCCCCAGGTTCCTCTATCTATTCCAGAACCTGCCCATTATTAGGAACATGAAAATATTCGAGCGGTGGAACAAAGAGATGGGTAGGTTTATATGGAACGGGAAAAGACCTAGAATCAAATTTAAAATTCTAGAGGACAAAAAGGAGAGAGGGGGATTTGGGGTACCAAATCTCAGGCTATATTTTGACGCCTGCGCCTTAGTCTGGATCAAGGAATGGGCCCTTTTGAGGAAGGAAAAAACCCTGAACCTGGAAGGCTTTAACTTAGAAGCAGGATGGCACTCATACATGTGGTATAGAACATCAGGCCCCCCAAAGACCTTTGGTAACCACTTCGTACGAGGAGCATTGATTAAGGTGTGGGACAAATATAAAAAGTGGTTTTATACAAAAATACCGCTTTGGGTTTCACCAGTTGAAGCCAAACAAAGACGCCTATTAGGCTGGAACGACTGGCCAACTTATAAAGATCTTTTAGTCTATGATAAAGCGAATAAAACATACACCTTAAAATCACAAGAGGAGTTGTCAAAAAATATGGGAAACTTTACCTGGCTAAAATACTTTCAAGTCAGAGAAACATTCAGACAAGATCAAAAAATAGGTTTCGAAACTAACGACTCGACCTGGGATAAAATACTTAAACTAGAAAAGAAAGTAATCACAAAAATATACAACCAACTTCTTGATTGGGAGGTGGAAACTGAGGAGATTAAGCAATGCATGATATCCTGGGCAAAAAATCTTGGAAGAACAATAAATATCAGAGAATGGCAGAAGGTCTGGCGAAAGAACTCAAAACACACATATGCCGCATCCCTAAAAGAAAACTGGCTGAAAAGCTTCCACCGCTGGTATTTAACTCCGCAGAAACTCTCCCAGATGTACAAGCAGTATAAGAACACCTGCTGGAAGTGTAAAAAGGAGGTGGGCAGCTACTACCACATGTGGTGGACCTGCCCTGTAGTGGCTAACTACTGGAAAATGATAAAAATGGAAACGCAAAAAATTATCAAGAGGAAGATCCCGATGAGGCCAGAAATCTTCTTATTAGGAATAATAGGGGACGACCTAGATTTGGACAAAAACGAGGACTCTATTATAACCTACAGTACAACGGCAGCGAGAATGGAGCTCGCGAGAGTATGGAAAGGGGATCAAATCCCCACCATGGAGCAATGGATCAATAAGCTACTAGATATCAAGGACATGGACAAGCTAACATTCTATTTGAAGAAAAGCTCAGGGCTCCCAATAAAACAAACAAACTGGGAAGCACTAGAAGAGTACGAGAAACAAAGCTTTGTAGCTAGGACAACCTATGGCAAATAAGGAAAAGGACAAAGGTTTAAACTTTAAGCAGAAAGGGTCAAAAATCAAAAATCCTTTCTTCCCTCAACCGGTCCAGGACTGGGAAGGGGGGAAGGGAAGTTATATACCAGAAAATTTATGAGGATACAAAAGCTTGGAAGTCTTTTAAAATGAATGAAGAGTGTAAGACAGAATGGTGTGTTGATTCAGACACTGTGGAATATGAGAAAGTTTGCGTGTACCACCCCCTCCTTACCTTTCCCCACTCCCCCCTCTCACCTACCCTCCCTGTAAAGCCCCCCCCCCCCCCCCCCCCCCCGGGTCAAGAGCGAAATAAGATGATGTATTTGTTGAATGTATCGGAGATGCTTGAGTTAATTTTGTACTGTACTTTTTTAAAATACTGGAAAATGAATAAAGATTATTTAAAAAAAAAAAAGAAAACTCAAGGTCAATGCCCACCAAATACTGGACCCTTTCAGTATTTTCTGATGGCCATGGGAGTTCTTTGTGCCAAGTTTGTTTCAATTCTATCATTGGTGGAGTTCGGAATGCTCTTTGATTGTAGGTGAACTATAAATCCCAGCAACCACAATTCCCAAATGACAAAATCAACCCTCCCAACCATCCAGTATTCAAATTTGGGCGTATTGGGTATTTGTGCCAAATTTGGTTCAGTGAATGAAAATACATCCTGCATATCAGATATTTATATTACAGTTCACAACAGTAGCAAAATTGCAGTTATAAAGTAGCAACAAAAATAATTTTATGGTTGAGTGTCACCACAACATGATGAACTGTATTAAGGAGTTGCAGCACTGGGAAGGTTGAGAAACACAGTCCTAGAAGGACTAGGAATGAATCCTGTCTGACACTTGGGAGAGCTTTTCCCACTCAGGAGTTGACAGTATTAGGCTAGATTGATTACGATCTGACTTACTGTAAGTCAGCTTCTTGCATATCTATGAATACAGGCACTGTTTCACGAGGAAGGAATTCTAGACCCTGAGTAACTATTGAAAGAGTCTGCTATGGACAGTCATTAAATGCTTCTCTCAGAGAGCTGGAAAGCTACCACTCTGCCCTCAGAGAATTGTAATGGCCATACACATCAGTGGAGGTATTCCCAGAACAATCATGATAGCCATCAGATTCTTTTAAACTAATAGACAGCTTCTTGAATTGGGTTCAGAAAGTAATTGGCAGCCAACGTTCCCTTCATTTGGATCTGCTGCTGCTGAAGGCAGAGCATTGTCTTCCACAACTTGTCACCCCAGGCCCCATAAATATTCTGTGGTTTGGTGTGAACGTAATCACCTTTATTGCTACATTCATTAAATGCAATATGTGATCTGTCTTTTCTATCAGGTTGGGCTGTTGGACTGTTCAGCAATAGGATCAGCGAGTCCCACTCAGGGAAAGGAAATTGAAGTAGCACGCTGTGGGGCTTTGGCACTCTGGAGCTGCAGCAAAAGTGCCAAGAATAAAGAAGCAATACGTAAGGCTGGAGGCATCCCCCTCCTGGCTCAGCTGCTCAAATCTCCCCATTCCAATATGTTAATACCTGTGGTAGGAACTTTGCAAGAGTGTGCATCTGAGGTGAGAAGTGTCTGCTAGCCTGTGGGATAGCAGGTGGCAAAAAGGCAAAAATCTGAGATTCATCAAAAACTATATAATTTGGATTTCCAGCATGTAATTGGCAATTAACAAATATCTGACAAAATAGTTTCAATGAATGTAGTTGGATTGGATCTCTCATCTCAGTTTCAGTAATATAGTTAATGCAGTCATGAATGTAGCAGCCAAAGGCATTTTATCTTGTGACTCTGTCAATGGCCATAATTAAAAATAACAAAATGTAATAGAAAATGATCCCTTCTGACAGTCTACTGGCTGAGATCGTACATTGTGGTTGCAAAGCATACAGCTCTATGTGCAGAGTTATTCAGTCTGATACGTAAGTCTGTGTTTAATGGCAATGTTGTGCAAATAAACAAAGGCACCAAATGTGAAATAAGCAAATGTGCATGCACATGTTTGTGCAACTGCAGTGTGCTTCCTTGTACAGTGGGTATCCTTATGCAGTTCATATTCATGTGAAATGGGATCATAGAGATACTTTCCACAATCTTGAACCGAATACATCTCTTTCAAGTTAGCCTGAAATGTCCAAATGTTTCTGTATTTAAGTGACTTCTAGTTTTTAATGAATGTATAAATTTTCAACTGGCCACTGATTTATGCTGGACTAACCCTTGGTCTACACAACATGGTATTGTCTTAACCATTGATTGGAAGTCTTTGGCACACCAGATCTACTTCAACTGAATCTCCCATCAATACAGTGTAGTGACTGCTGATGGGAGTTGAAGTCTGACAAATTTTGCAGGGCTGTTCCTTATTCCTGGGCTTGACTGACTCTTTGTGGTTTCAGACAGAAGCTTTATTACTGCTCTACTTGCTAGAATGAACCTGGACCATCTGCATACATATCCTATGTTCTAGTAAACATGTAGGCTCAAGTGTGTGAGACAGTATGAAACACTCAATACAGCAACTACCTGAAGTCCTCTATTGTGTGTTAGAGTACTCAAGACTAGGCTTGTGCACGGATCCATTTTAGCCATTATCCTTCAGCTTTTCCAGATGGCTGTAATGGCAAGGGCTCAGCCTCCATGGTTTTTTCACCCAAAACGGCCCACATGGCTGCCAGGCATGGCTCCTTCCCTTCTATTCGGGAGTATGCAGCATATGCTTCCTGAGCCCCATTCCTCAAAACCAGGCTCCCTTGAAAGGAAGAAATGAAAGGATCCCAGGAATGGAAAGGGAAGCCTTGGAATTTCCCATTGCCGCCAATGCACCAGATTTTCCTGGGGTTTTCTCTCACACTCTTCCTCCCCCCCCCCCTCAGCCACTTAGGCGACTGAGGGGGGAAAGGAAAGGGCCTGAGGCTGTTAGGAATTGTGGGAGTTGAAGTCCAAAACACCAGGAGGGCCCAAGTTTGCCCATGCCTGACTTAGTCCCTTGAGGACCCTTCCAACTCTATGATTTTATTTCTCTATGTTGTCATTACAACTCTCATAAGAGTTTTGTCTAAATATGTCTTGGACTGTTTGTCATGCTTTTGCTTGTACTCCAGATGTTCTGCTGTATTGAGTTCTACTCCAAATATACTCCTGAAGTGCTTTGTCTTTTGAATGATAGCAGTTTTTTGCTGGTGGTACTTAATATATTTATTTGTATGACTTTACCAGTGGAACTTAATACATAACAACTTGATTTTGTAGCCCAAATACAGAGCTGCGATCAAACAGGAGAGGATGATTGAGAACCTGGTAAAAAATCTGAATAGTGACAAAGAAGAACTTCAAATGCATTGTGCCAGTGCGATCTTTAAGGTAATGAAGGCTTTGAAGGGTCAGAGCAGATTCCAGCCATATGATTTTATGACAACTAGTAGTACAAACTGGACAATTATGTGGAAAGGGGATTACTAAAGTATTTCTGTCCTATTGCTGAAAAGTTCAATAACTCCATAACTCATATGAGTCTCCTCTGGAGTTTTTAAACAGAGGCTGGAGGATAATCTGTCATAATTGCTTTGATTGTATATTTCCACATGGCAGTGGTTTGGACTGGATCACCTTGTGGTCTCTTCCAACTCTATGAATATATGGGTTGTCTGTGATTCATGTAGAAGAATAGAAATGAGTATTATTATCTTCAATGTAAGGAGCTATAAGGTAGGGGCAAGGGAACTATAGGGGCCTGTTTCCCCTTTACAGCCTCTCTTGAGGCTACCCTGAGAGTGCTCCCAAATGTCCGCCTTCAGTCCCTACAGGAAGAAAGGCAGGGTATAAATAAATGAAGTACGTAAAATATCTCCATCTTCATCAGAGCCAGTTCCAAAACAACAGTTGACAATAGCATTGTGTCAATTCTTTTTGCCATTTTGAAAAGAATTCCAGCCCCTGAGTCTAAGGCAGGGGTGGGCAGGCGGGTGGATTTTTGTATGTTTTCAGGGCTTTTCACATTGTTTTCAGGGCCAAAAGTGGCCCCCAATGACACTATTTTAAAAAACCTAGAGAGTTGGGGAACTAAATGGGTCATATTTTGCCCACTCTTGATTTAGTCATACAGTTTGTGACATGTGAAAATTACTGGGATGAATCCAGATTTAGGATCCAGATTTATACAGGCAGATAGAGGTGTGTGTGTGTGTGTGTGTGTGTGTATAGGCGTTTTCCCCATCTTCAGCATCATGGAGGCTGTGCTCGATTCTGGCTCCATTTTCCCTGCTGAAGAGCTTTTGATCATAAACTTCCTCCTTTTAATTGAATCACCAGCATTTTCTGGCATTTCCCTATGGGTGCCTAAATACCTCCCCAATTTTAAAGCAGTACCTATGTATCTACTCACAATTGCTGTGTTAGATCTGCTAGGTTGGCAGAAGCTGGGCTGAAGGCCAGGAGCTCACCCTGACGCGGGTTTTGAACTGCCAATCTTCCAATTAGCAGGATTTACTGAAGTTGGCAGTTAACCAAGAAGAAGGGTTTTAAGATCAAATTACGGAGTGCTGTGGTTTTTAGCTTTGAATATGTTTTTATGTGTTTTAACTCTGATTTTTAAAAATCCCATTGATATTTAATTCTGTTTTAATGTTGGTATATTTGTAGATTTTAAATTGTATTAAAATGCTTTTAATGTAAGCCACTTTGAGTCTCCTTGTGGAGAGAATAAGCAGGGTATTATTATTATTATTATTATTATTATTATTATTATTAATAGTGAAGCGCCATCTTTTTCTCTTTTATTTTCATTGTGAAAGAAAGGTCCTTAGAATTTTGGAGTTATCCAATTTAACCTTTGCATAGAAACCTAATTTATAGGCCTCTGTTATGTGTACTTTTAATTTTTTTTCTGAATTGTAGTGTGCTGAAGATCAAGAAACACGCGATCTTGTTAGGCAGCATGGAGGCCTAAAACCTCTTGCTGCTTTACTTGCTAAATCTGAGAATAAAGAACTTCTGGCAGCAGTGACAGGGGCAATCTGGAAATGTGCAATCAGCAAAGAAAATGTGACCAAGTATGTGTAGCATTTACAAACATACAGAAATAGATAAAAGTTAAAATCACTTGATGTTGCAAGAAATGCATTTTCTGAGCTTAAACATTATTGGCTCTGTGTGGTCAAAAGTGTTACTGTAAGTGTGCATTCATGGCTTACTTACTGTAAATGTGTATTCATGTTTTCTCTGACCATGCCAACTCAGCTGTTTATAATGCTGAAATACAAAATAAGTAACATACTGATCTGTTTATCAGCAATCTAATAATCCAAAGCATATACTTTCCAAGGAATGTTTGTGTATTCCATTGATCATTCTAGCTCTATAACAGTGGTTCCCAACCTTTTTTTTTTTTTACACCAGGGACCACTCTCCAACATTAGTACCAAAAGGGTTATGAATCAGTTTTTGGTCAACTTTAGATTTGGTTTGGTTATTTGGAGTGCTGATTCAGAAAATTGTATTGGATAGACCACATCAGCTCTAGTTCCTGATACAGAACATATGCCATCCAGTAGTTGCCATCTGCTTGCCCACAGAAAACCATATTTAATAATCTAGAGCTGATATGGTAGTAGTAACCTTCTTGTGGGTAGCCAGCCTCTCCCCTCCTGGCATTCCTGTTGCCTCAGCACCATAAGAGGGTTTCGCAAGAGCAGTCACTTTCTTTGCCTCATGATTTTGAGGCAATGGTGCAATAATGGTGAGGCCGTGGACCATATTTTCCTTCTTACTGACCACTGGTGGTCCATGGACCACAGGTTGGGAACCATTGATCTTTAAGAACTCCACCTTGTCTTATTACATTAAAAAAACATGCTAACCCTCATGAAAGTAGGTATATATCTGGAAAAGGTAGCAATGATTGTGGTTTGCATTATATGTATGATCCAACTTCAGATTTGTGCAAAATCTATGAGACCTAACTAATAGTTCTTGGAATGGCAGAAAAGGCTAGGGAATTTCTGCTAAATCTCACAGTCTCTTTAATATATATGATTTTAAGTATTTTAAAGGAAGCAATGACAGTTAAACTATTAGTGTAGATTAGTATTTAGAAAGCATAAGACAAGTACCATGAAATACAAATAGTGGAGCTTGCATTCATATTTATTCATTCTTAAAGTAGATTCACTAAAATCAGTGGGATTTTTAATGGGGCTAATCTAACTTTGATTAAATCTGGATTCCAAAAAGTTTATACCCAATTTGTAATGTTTGGGAGGTCTAATGTGACATGAACAAATGTTTTCTGGAAGTACACATCTAACAATATTTTGTTGGTTTCTATTAGATTCCGGGAGTACAAAGCTATAGAAACTTTGGTTGGGCTGCTGACAGATCAACCGGAGGAAGTTCTTGTGAATGTTGTTGGAGCTCTTGGTGAATGTTGCCAAGAACAAGCTAATCGGAGCATTATACGGAGATGTGGTGGAATCCCATCCCTTGTTGCTCTACTCACAGGAACCAACCAGGCTCTTCTTGTTAATGTTAACAAAGCGGTGGGATCGTGTGCAACAGAACCTGAAAATATGGCGTAAGTTTTAAAAAAGAAATGTATGCCCATGATGACATATCCTATTCATTTATACTATGCACATCCATGTGATGCTTAGCATGCTTATCACATAACTAAATATAGGTATACCACCGTTAACAAAGTACATGTGTTCCTTGGCATTACTTCTTTAGCAGAAAAATTGGTACCGGAAGTAGAAAAAAAAGATGGAAAGGGTCAAGATAGGGTCCTACACCACAAAATAGAGGAGCTGTTCAACATGTTTCAGCAATTATTTTGCTCAAAACTAACAATATGCACATGTAAAATGAAACAACTGGGTCTGCAAAGCCTTCCATAAGTAACAAAAAATATGAACCCTTTTCAGCCTTTTTCCAAAATGCATTCAGAGAGGATTTTTGTTACTTTCCCCCCTTTTTGCTTTTTTAAGATTTCTCCTTTAAAAGCCAAATTTAAAGATCTATACATTTTGTCATACTGGGGATAATAATAAATAATAAAAATAATAGATATTATTATTATTACTATTACTATTACTATTACTATTATTATTATTATTGCACCCTGCCTCCATCTCCCCGAAGGGAATCAGGGTGGTTTATATGTCATGTATCACGTTCTTCAGTTGATGGCGGTTGGAGGTGGCAGGCCTAGCAGTTGGTGATGGATTGGTGAATGTAAGTCTTAGTTATAAAGGGTTGAGTAATTTGTAAGTAAGAGTTCATGGGTGAAAGCAGTTAAGGATAGAGGTATGCAAGAGATAGGTTGCAGCTGGGTGTTTCTGGATATAATGAGCTAGCCTTGGGACTGATCTTTGGGAGAAAAGTATTTGTTTTATTTTGGTGGTAGATGCTGCTGGTTTTTCTGCTGATTTTCAGTATCCTGACTTGTCTCCTGTACTCTTGGAACCCTGAAACCTTGAATCTCTGGACTGGCTTTTGGCTACGGTATAGACTCTTGATCCCTGGACTTTGCTCATTGAACTCTTGGTGTTTGACCACTTGACTGCTGTCAGTTTTGTTTTATATTATGTGGCTGAGTGCTATCTTTATGTTTTATATTTTGGACTATTAAAACAGCCAGAAAATAAGTGCTGTTTTAATTAAACTGTTTGATACAAACTGGGTGTTTGTTTGGTTCACCTCTACCTGAATACGGCAGAGCCCTGGCAATGTGGCATTATGCATGGCACAAAGTGCCTAAAACAATACATAATAAAATAAAATGAATAAACCAGTAATATAAAACAACAATTTTAATCAAAATGGCACCCAGTAACCTATAGTGTTGACTGTCATAAAAACATGGTCAACTGTAAACAAGAAGGAGGGAAAGGGTTAGTACAAGTTGTAGCTAAGAACAAGGGCATGGGTGAAAGTGCTGTGCTGTATCATAACAGCAGACCATTTGGCTGGACATTTTCAAAGGCTTGTCTAAATATCCAAATCTTCAACTCCCTCCGGACGGAGGATAGGCTGGGGGCCTGCCTAATCTCCCTGGGGAGGGCATTCCAATGCTGGAGGGTCACCATCGAGAAGGCCTTCTCCCTCGTCCCTTGACCACGTGTAGGGCCTCCCTGGGAGATTTCATGCAAGTACATGGGGGGATGCTGGCACAAGGATAGGACGGGCCAGAACCGTTTTGGGCTTTATAGGTGATTCCTTCACTTTGAAAGTGCAGCTGGTGAAGCAGGCAAATCTGCTTTTGCTTTTTCTCTGTCTTTTTTTCCTCTCTGTCTTCTGTCCCCACACTTTTATTAAGGGATTATGGAGGGTGCCTCTGTTATCCTCAATACGTAGACATGGCTACTGCATAATCCCATTCCTGACAAATTTTATTGCACTATTTACTGCAGACACACTTTTATAACCCAGAATCAACAGTTTGCATTTCTTCAGCTCTCCTTCGCTGTCCTTCTAATGTCGGTGCTTGTAATAAAGATGGAGGATGAGAAAGAAAAGGGTGAATGTTCAGGTATTAAAAGATTTAATAAAAAATTTCGACAGTGGCCCTTTAAGGTATTCCTGTAATAACTTGTAATAGCCCTCCTGCAGTACCATATAATTTTCATAAAAATATAAAAAGCAAATATCTGCCCTTCTACTAAATTGGGTCCCTGATTCTCCTTCTGATAACATCTGAATACTGACCTTTCTAAACTGTATTTTACATTTTAAGGTGCTCTGGGGTGAAGTATGTTTTCTAGGTTTTGAAAAAATCATATACTTGGCACTGCAAGAGCACTCTCCTGCAGTACCATTTCAGCTGAATGCTTTAGCAGTTGTACATGGAAACTAAACAAATACCAAACTAATTTTTTTGCCAGCACTGCATACTAAGAGTGTGAATTGAAGAAGTTGTTATTTTATTAAGAGCACTATTGATGTTTGACTTGTATAATGTAAAGCTTGTACTGTTTGAGACCTCAGCATTTAAATTTCATGAGGAATGCTCCAGGAATACGTTCAGATGGGAAGCCTACACAAGAAGGTAGCCCAGTTCCTTGCTTATACTCATATACAACCCAGGTTGAGAAGAGATAGAGATCTCCTCTTCCCCTTGCTCTATCTTGCCTAAAATACTTGATATTCATAGAGTGGCACAGAGACCGATTCCAGTTTCTTGAAAGGGGTGCTTGTTTCCATCCTTTGGCTGTCACCCAGTGGCAAGATAGGAGTGTAAACGTGGTCTATATGAACAGGGCCAGTTGTGAATGGACCAGTGGTAGAAAGGCATGCATAGCTTTTCTAAAGGTGTTAAATGCCAATAAGCATGCTGACATTGTAATAAACACTAAAGAAAATAAAATTAATCTTTTGCAGTACAATTTATAAATTACATAGATGGATGTATTGTTGAAGGCTTTCATGGCTGGAATCACTAGGTTGCAGTGAGTTTTTCAGGCTATATGGCTATGTTCCAGAAGCATTCTCTCCTGACGTTGCACCCACATCTATGGAAGGCATCCTCAGAGGTTGTGAGGTTTGTTGGAAACAAGGCAAGTGGGGTTTATATATTTGTGGAATGTCCAGGGTGGGAGAAAGAACTCTTGTCACAAGGCAAGTGTGAATGTCACAATTTGCCACCCTGATTAGCATTGAATAGCCTAGCAGCTTCAAGGCCTGGCTCCTTCCTATCTGGGGCAGTCCTTTGTTGGGAGGTAATTAGCTGGCTTTGATTGTTTCTTGTCTGGAATTCCCCTGTTTTTGAGTGTTGTTCTTTATTTACTGTTCTGATTTTAGAATTTTTAAAATACTGGTAACTATTTTGTTCATTTTCATGCTTTCCTCCTTTCTGCCGAAATTGTCCACATGCTTGTCGATTTCAATGGCTTCTCTTTGTAGTCTGACATGGTGGTTGTAAGAGTGGTCCAGCATTTCTGGGTTCTCAAATAGTATGTTGTGCCCAGGTTGATTCATCAGGTGCCTCTTCAAATTCTACAGCACTACTGATCACAGCTGACCTCCAGCTAGAGCACTCAAGGGCCAGGGCTTCCCAGTTCTCAGGGTCTATGCCACAGTTTTTAAGGTTGGCTTTGAGCCCAGTGTAGACTTGTCCACAGCTGCATTGTATATGGTAGACTCCTGCAGTGGTGAGAGGATTCCTCTTGTCCTTTGCTGAACATAGCATTTGTTCCAGACAACAAACAATCAGGGCCAGCTAATCACCTCCCAACAAAGAATTCTCCCAGGCAGGAAGCAGCTATGCCTTGAAGCTGCAGTGCCATTCAGTGCTAATCAAGGTGATCAGTTGCAACATTCACACTTGCCTCAAGCAGACAAGAGCCTTTCTTCCACCCTGAACATTCCACAGATATATAAACCTCACTTGCCTAGTTTCCAACAGACCCCTCAATCTCTGCGGATGCCTGCCATAGATGTGGGCAAAACATCAGGAGGGAATGCTTCTGGAACAGGCTGGAAAACTCACAGCAACATATAGCACGCATATATTGAATCACCTCCACATTATTTCTCCACAAAGTATTGAAGGTTATCATAATTTTTGTAATAACCTAACAGTGATCTTGGGTCATAAATCAGCGAAGAAACCCAAACAGCCATTTGGCAGGAGTGAACCCTCAGGAGTAATCCACTGCTCAGACCCCAGTGCCCCTATATCCAACCTCATACTAAAATGCGGTCTGAACAAAAGCACCAACATCAACACAAATTAAGTTCTAAAACTGTAGTCTGACAAAGGTCACCTTGTTTAAGAGTGAGGAAAGGTTCTGCTGATAGTTTGGGAAGAAATATTACTGTTTTTGGCAATTCTTCTCTGACTGAATTATACTTCTGATTTCTCTTGAGTTCTTTTCACTGCAGGAAGTCTCCTCTATATTAGTTTACAGTCCAGAGCCAAAAGATATTCTTCCAAGGTGTTTGAAAGGCAGGTATTATGTTTTAAAAGATTTGGTCTGTTATTGAGTCCAACAATTTCTGGGTAAGAAAAAACACACGCCTTTTAAAATCTATTTCTCATTCTTCTACTTTGACTAGGAAAATTGCTCCTTTTATAAATGAGCAGGAAGAACAAGTGGGTCCTTAAAGACTAACTAGGATGTTTTTTAGGAAGTGTTAGTAAGTTAATTCTCAAAAGGCACACAGCTTTTCTAAAGGTGTTAAATGCCAATAAGCATGCTGACATTGTAATAAACACTTAGGAAAATAAAATTAATATTTTGCAGTACAATTTATAAATTACATAGATGGATATATTGTTGAAGGCTTTCATGGCCAGAATCACTGGGTTGCTGTAAGTTTTTCAGGCTGTATGGGCATGTTCCAGAAACATTATCTCCTGACGTTTTGCCTGCATCTATGGCAGGCATCCTCAGAGGTTGTGAGGTCTGTTGGAAACAAAGCAAGTGGGGCTTATATATCTGTGAAATGTCCAGGGTGGTAGAAATAACTCTTGTCTGTTGGAGGTGAGTGCAAATGTTTCAATTGGCCACCTTGATTAGCATTTAGTACCCAGTAGTTTTCAAGGTGTAGCTTCTTACTTCCTGGAGGAATCCT